TTCATAAACTGAAAATTACTAAAGGATTTGATCTTTTTTGTGGTGCAGTTAATAAAATATATCTGTTGGGTGTCACTCTTTGAGGCACTTGAAATAACAGTGGTAAGCATTATAGACAAGTTTCCTTTATTTAAGGGACTTAGATTCTAAGGGATTAGAGACAGAAAACAAATGAAAATTCATGTAATTAGAAATTCCCTAAGGCTTTTCTGAATGCAGATTGGGAGAAATGTTAATGTCAATAAGGCATTTGGCATTGAAAAATTAGGGTAAGATCATCTATAAAGGAGCAATAAATACTAAGGCCCTAAATGGAAAACTAACAATATGCTTGAAAAACACTGAGAAAACTTGTGTGGCTGATACTTAGTTCAGGCAAATGGTAAGCAATACCCTTACTTTTTACCTATCATTGTAATCGCTACTTTGCGTCTACCCTTAATCTTCTTGCCTGCCTAATGCTTCATTATACATACTCACTAGCTTTGCTTAAGTACTTCAATGCCAGCACTGTTCCTGCATCTCTGCAGCTGTCTGTTACTGGGTCTAGAATTCTTGGAATATTTGTGAGAGAATAATACACATGTTAGAAGTAGTATATTAGGTTTCTAGTCATGATGAGGCATATCTGTAATCCTAGCTTCTCCAAAGGTAAAGTTTGGGAGGATGGTGGTTCCTAGTTTCCTGGAACCATGCAGAAAGTTATTCACATCTCCATCTCAGCAAACTAGTGGGTGTGATAGTCAGGCCTGTAATCTTTATGGTCTGAAGTTGGGTTGGGGAGAGTGATACCCTATTTGAAAAAAGGCAAAAAGGGATTGCAGGTGTGACTCAAGTGGTAGAGTACATACCTAGCAATTGTAAGGTTTTGAGTTCAATTTCTAGAATTGCAAAAATATATATATATTAGGAAAGCTACCACTATAGAAGACATTTAAAAATTAGAAAACTGAATTATTATTTCAAGGGAATATTGCGGATTAAATTTTATTTTTCTTTGTAAATATAAACAACTATTCTTTTGCATGTTAATTATAAAACTGTAAGACCCACATTATTAAGATACTCAGAAAAAATACTTTTAGTTATTGTGGCACTTTCCCCAGACCAATATGAAACTGAAATTGTGAGTTTTATCAGCCTAGTTTCTCATATGTTCCATAGTCATCAGGTCATGATTTTGAAGACATTTATTCTTGCAGCCAAATTAAAAATGAGTTCCTAACAACAAGGAAATATTTTTGAGATTGCATCTTTGCTGGGCCTGTTAAGAAGAAAAGTTTGATTAACATACTTGTAGAATTTAAAAACCCTATTTAATGATAATGCATCACAGGAGCTTATATTAAGCTTCTATGAAATCAGTCATATCTTGTTCCAATTAATAGCCAACCTAAATATATCCTTTGTATTAAGTGAAACCTCTCCAGTTGGTTCATTGATTTTAACCTAACCAAATTTACATTTTAACTTAAAGACTTACAATGATTACTAAATTTTAGGTATTTTAGATACTATTTCCAGCCTCCAAAATACTTGGATATTATTTTGAATACTATTGAGCAGTTAAGGGGGAGAAAAAAAGAGTTAATTACATTGACATGGAATATTTAAAAAAAAAAATTGAGGTACTCATACTGCAAAATTTTTTGTAGCCACTTTGTTTTACAGTATTTTTTTTTTTTTTGTCGGTCGTGGGACTTGAACTCTGGGCCTGGCCTGGGCGCTGTCCCTCAGCTCTTCAGCTCAAGGCGAGCGCTCTACCACTTGAGCTACAGCGCCACTTCCGGTTTTTTTTCTGGTGGTTTATTGGAGATAGGAGTCTCACGGTCTCTCCTGGTCTCTCCTGCCCGGGCTGGCTTTGAACCGTGATCCTCAGATCTCAGCCTCCTGAGTAGCTAGGATTACAGGCGTGGGCCACCAGCGGCCGGCTAGTATTTTAATCCTTATAGTTCTGCCTTCTCTAGGATATTATGAGTGAGTTAATTAAGGATCTTAGCAATCTGAATCCTTTTACATGGCAAAATTTCATATGTTACTTGCATTAGTTTGGAGCTTGTTTGAAGCTTATAGTGCTGATCCTGGAACTCTTTAAAGTTTATTTTATTTGATTGCTTAAGCAACTGATTACCTTCTGAACCATACCCTGTGTTATGAGGTCTTTGTCTCTGGATGATGTGAACATGTTTTGACTATTTCTTTTGAAAGGCATTTTCTCTAGACTATTAATGTCTTCAGAGAATTTCTCCAGAATCTCTAGAGTTCTTTAACTTCAGTTTCTGTTCTGGTGCCTTGCTGTCTCCCCTAACTTGGAACTTCTTTAGATGGTTGATTTAACTCCATGAGAACATTAGGCTCCTGTATAGATTCCACATACCTCTTCCTACCAGCCTTAAAACTACATGCAATGAACAAGGAACTCTAGTTTCTTGTTATTTAAAATGGATAAAAGTTATTTCTTCTAGCCAGGCATCAGTAGCTTACTTCTATAATCCTAGCTACTTAAAAGGCTGAGATTTAAGGATCATTCGAAGTTACTATGGGCAAGAAAGTCCAAGAGATTCCTTATCTCCAACTAACCACCAAAAAGACAAGTGGAGCTGAGGCTTATGTGATAGACTTGAGCAAAAAAGCTCAGGGACAGTACACAGGCTCTCTCTGTTCAAGCCCTAGGACCAGAGTACACACAGTTTCATTGTAGTTTACAAATATGTACTTGTCTTTTCTGACTCTTGAACATTTACAGTGCTCTTTGAAAAAACTGTGTAAACAGTAGTATTCATGTTCTCTTATTTTCTTGTTTCTTTGTACACACATACATCTTGTTATTTCCACTATGGAGATTATCAACAATATATTGGTAAACCATTTTTATTACATTATAGTGAGGATAGTGGTGGCTTTTTTCTATGTTCCCTCAGTTCATTTCTCCATTGTTTTCTAGAAAAGATCAATTACAGTATTGGTTGGAATTGATGTTGGTTATGGATTGAAACCTAGGTCATAAGGTATTTGAAATTATTCCTAGAGGAGGGAACAAAAGTAAACAAGTTTTTCCTCTATACTAAAATCTGCAGTTCTCCAAAGTGGATATTAAATTGATTGATTACATAATTGTACTATTCCCATATTATTTAGTATATATGATTTCATTCTTATCGTTTCTTATATAATTAGATTGTATAATTATAATTAATGATTGTACAACATTTGGATCTGCTTTACTTTGTAATGCTCCTTCTGAGTACCCTAATTCCAAGCTGAGGATATGTAACTCAGTGGTAGAGTGCTTGCCTGTCCTGTGCAACACCTTTTCTTGGTTCAGTAATATAAATGAATTAATGGTCAAAGAAATGATAATTTTCCTAATTCCTTGCCTAATGGTAGATGGTAGTAAGTAAATACAAATAGCTAAAAAATCTTTGTTTATTATTTTTGAGACATACTTAATTTCAAATCTACATATAAGCTTGTATATATAAATCATATATATATATATAAATTAGTACTGAGCAATTACAGGTTTGTTGTAGAGTCAGACATCTTCCAATTTTAATTCAAATTTACACAATGTAAGATGGTAAAAATTGAGTAAAAACTTAGTGCCCACGAACTTTGTGCTAGTACATATGTAAAACAGGAGATAGAAGATAGGATTTTGTCACATGAACTTTTTTAAAAACAATATTATTTTCCCCTTGCTTATTTAAAAAATTTCTCCCCATGGGCTGGGAAGGTGGCTCAGTGGTAGAGCGCTTGCCTTGCATGCATGGGGCCCTGGGTTCGATTCCTAAGCACCACATAAGCAAAAAGAAAAAAGCCGGAAGTGGCGCTGTGGCTCAAGTGGTAGAGCACTAGCCTTGAGCTGAAGAGCTGAGGGACAGCGCCCAGGCCCAGAGTTCTGGCCCCATGACCGGACCTCCCCCCCCAAAATTTCTCTCCATTTTGCTTTTAAAGGTAACCCATATAGATATTTTTTATTTTAATAATATTGGTATGCTCTCTTTATGATTATAATTATTCATTGACTTCTAAAGTATTTTTCTTAGGATTTAAATTACTGCTCTAAATGTAAATATAAACTTTAGTGGTTAGCAACAATATATTGTAGGTATGGATACATCTTTTTGGATTTATTTATCTTTATCCAGGTTAAGAAGTGAGTGCCTCTCTCACACACACAATTATATTTTGTTGGAGACCCAAAGATAAACCCATCAGTGGAAGTTGGCATTTTTGTTGTTCATTGGAGTAAATTTTAATAAATGAATTGGGCTTATATTTATAAATCACCTTAAAATAGGATGCTCTCATTTTATGGCATAGAAATAAGCTTTACACATGCCTTTAATCAGTAACTATAAAAGTAACTTAACATTCCTAGCTGTGTGCTGGTGCTTATGCCTTTAATCCTATCTACCCAGGAGGCTGAGATCTGAGGAAAATGGGTTGAAGTCCCCTGGGGCAGCAAAGTCCATTTCCAGTTAATTACCAAAAAGTGGAAAGTGGAATTGTGGCTCAAGTGGTAGACTGCTGGCCTTGAGCCAAAAATATCAGAGTCTGAGCCCCAGACCTTGAGTTCAAGCCCCAGGACCAGCATCAAACCTACCCCACCCCTAATGTAACTTACATTCCTATTATCATTCCCTTACATAAGAATTCAGTTAAATGGCAGAATCTGAATTAATTTAATATTGCTGAGACTAACAAGGCAATATTGAAGAGAAAAAAAAGGTGGTAGTCAAGGGGTGAGCTATTTTATATACTTTGATTTTCTCACTTTAAATTTCCTCTTTGTGTGTGGTGTTGTATAGTTGTAATTGGAGAAAAAAGGAGTAAAGAGGGAAGAGTGATCTCGAAATATATCTGCGAGTCTAGTGCTCCCTAGATAAAAGTATAAGATAATGAGGATTTTTTGTGTGTATATAATATTGGATGTATTTTGTTGCTGTTCATATATTTTTAGTAATTTTGATGGCTTTTGGATAATTCCACTCTAGAGGGAGAACTGGTGGGCGGTCCTTCCTGTGACACGACCCTTGAGTGACAGTTCTATTTGATTGCCTCCAGTACTGTGAGGAAAGGACACGACTCTATGGTGAGGACTGATGGACATACATTATCTGAGAAAAGAAACTACCAGGTAAGATTTTATTTTTTCTCCCTTCTATATTGGTTATAGCTACATTGAACTGTTTAATGTGTCATCTTAGTTGGAAATACTCTACTGGATATATGTGAATTTGAAAAATTTAAGTTACAGTCATAAAGAAATGTTAGAATTTACTGTTGATATAGTTGGTGATATTTTTCAGAATAAAGCATGTTCATCATATGTATTTTTCAGTAGAAGCATTGTATTTTTCATGAGTATCTCAGAAATGTGGACAAAATTATAGTAGAAATAGAATGAGACTCAAGTTATTTAACACCCAAGTTTTGTGAATTTGTCATTTGTTTACTGTCCTTACAATGCTTGTTTTCTTGTTTAATAAGTTGGCTAATAATATCCATCTCGTATACGTAGGTGTATGTATAGGGATACTTCAAATGTACCAATCAAATTTCTTTGAGTTTTTAAAAATAAGTGAATTTTAGGACTGGGAAGGTGGCTCAGTGGTAGAGCGCTTGCCTTGCATGCCAGAGGCCCTGGGTTCGATTCCTCAGCACCACATAAGCAAAAAAAAAAAAAGCCGAAAGTGGCACTGTGGCTCAAGTGGTAGAGTGCTAGCCTTGAGCTGAAGAGTTGAGGGACAGCGCCCAGGCCCAGAGTTCAGGCCCCACAACCGGACCCCCTCCCCCCAAAAAAGTGAATTTTAGAGATAGTACTATACTATAAACTAATTTTTAACAACATTTTAATTTAATTTTTTAAAAACAAAATCTGCTTTATTCATTTGTAATGCTACAGTATTATCTAGTAATCTAAAATGCTGAACAGTTTTCAGGCATCTTTCACAAATATGTATCTTCCGTTTACCTCAACAGTTTCATTCCTTCAGGGCCTTGAAGGCATACCTAGTCTGATAGCAACAGCTTTGGTTAGCTACTCAGTTTTGTCTACTTATTATTTCCTTCCTTCCTTCCTTCCTTCCTTCCTTCCTTCCTTCCTTCCTTCCTTCCTTCCTTCCCTCCCTCCCTCCCTCCCTCCCTCCCTCCCTCCCTCCCTCCCTCCTTCCCTTTTGAAAAAGTGAACAGTGGAAAATTGTAAATGAGATTGTGTGGTTTGTAATAGCAGAGTCTTCTATTAAAAGATCTGGGTTCTGGTTTGGAAACTGTCTCTAATTTTTAACTGCGTATGTATTTAACCTTTGTAGAATTTAAAATTTAATTCAAGGTATGAAATTTCTTGCCAGATGTTTACAATTTTAATCAGCCAGAGAAAGTGGGAACTGTACTGTAACCTTTTTGTTGTTGCTGTTCTCATAGACTTGACCAACATAGACTTTGCTCATTATTTGTACTTGCTGAAGCTCCTCCTCATAAGATTTTGATTAGTCATACTTCTTGAGCTTTTGGTAGGTTTTACTACATTATTCTAGGAATATTATGATTCTAGGTTATGTGGCATTTCAGCACTCATAATCTGGATGTTAAAGTGTGAGTACAGAAGTTTTATATGATACAGTATAGTTAATTTGACTCTCGTACCCATATTCATGTAGTAGTCCAAAACTGACACTTAAGGAATAAAGCAGGATTATGTTTTACATATGAAGAGATTTGCTTATTTTTTCTTATGCTTCTTAAAAGTACTTTTGTATTCATTTCCTAATATTACAAATTTTGAACTTTCCAAGAAAATGCTGTCTTGGTTAGGGTTTTGCTATGCAAAAACATTTTCTTTTATCTTTCATTGTTTCATAGTGATACTTAATGCATATTGAAATAGTTTAAGTGTGCATTAAATAATTTAATAGTTTAAATCCTTGAAATAGTTTACATCTGGACTGTAAAGTTATTTTATCTTTTAAGCCTTTCTGAAAAAGACAAAGAGATATAATTTTTATCTAGCATGATAAGCATGTAGCTATTCAAATGAATATTAAATAAATGAGCAAGCTGAAATTCATATTTCTGCTAACATCTGTTAGAGTTTGTATATATTAAGAAGAAAGTTTGTTTAAAATTTTTGACTTTGGAGGAATTTTGTTATTTTTTTCATAGTTAAAGTAGAAATTCTTGGTATTTAAGTTTATAACTTTTCATTTGTCCTTGACAGCTTTTTGCTTTTAGAACACTCTAGATTCTTACGTTTATTTAAGCATACTGATAACATGCTAATATGCAAGTTTAACAAGAAGACTATTTCTCTGGTTGTCTTTGCTTATAGACCTGATTTGAACTGCAGGAATTTAACCTAGGAAGGTACATTCTCTCACAATGGGTATGAAGTACTCATTTTTATTGCAGTACTTCTTTAGTTTTTCTATAAATTAAATTGGATATTTGGAATTTGAATACAATAGATGCAGTTTATTTCAATGGATAGGTTAGTGTCTTAGTTCAAATGAGACAGTATATTTAAATGTTTCATAGTTTGTTCTTTTTACATAGATTATCAAACTTTGCCCAGGAAATGTTAATGTCAAGTTTTTTGCCAGATGTTCTTACATATATTAGTTTATCCAGGCTAGGAGCTTGCACAAATCTAAATTATCATAATTACCAATTTAACTTATCAGTAGCTATTCCTTTGTTAATCATACTATAAGACATTTGCATAATCTGTTTGCATTCTGGTCCTCCACATGCTTTAAAAAAATTATTAAAAACGTTTCCCCCAGTGCCTTTTGTGTTACTTCTTTGAATAGTTGTTTTTTAATTTAGAAATGAAAAACTCCTTAAAGATCCCTGGCATGCACGTTTTACACTTTCAAGCCTTTAAGTATATTGATTCTCTTTTGATTCAAGAGTTTCCGTTTCTCCAGAAGCCATTCTGCTATGGGTTCAATGTTCCTTTTTCTTGCTTTGACAGCCTTTCTGTGTATTTCTAGTTTAATTTTAACATAATAACTTGCAGTCATTATTTTGTCTTTGTCTTCCTGTGGATTTGTGTTATTTAATACTATAGGTACTAACCAAATATGGCTGTTTCAACTCAGGTTAATTAATACTACAATTTGATTTGTCAATCACATAATCTATATTTCAAGTGTTTAATAGCTATATGCTGTTAATAGTGGAGGTTATAGATTAGAAAGCTTCTATCATTGCAGAAAGTTGCAAGATTTTGCTGCTGTTTGTAATAAGCTTCTAGACACTAGAGCCATATCTGTTTGTCTTGTTTCATCTAGTAGCTAGCATATTATCCAGTGTAAGTTCAATGTATACAATTTCAATAATGAATCATCAGACTGATGGGATGAAATGGGGAAATATGCCAGGTAACTTATTAATAATATTTTCACAGTTTTTACTCTGAATGGAACTTTTTATTACTATTCTTTAAATGATAAAAGTAACAGATGCTGTTTAAGAATGTTTAAGAAGAATGTAAAATATAATGTGAAAGTTTACCTTCACAGCTTACTCAACAGTTTTGTGTGTATCTTTTCATACCTTTCTCTGTTTAACTGCAGGTGCGATTTGTTACGTTTGATTTTAACAAATGGGTATTATGCAGTTTATTTTTTATGCTTATGGAAGTACCTCATGTTATAGCTCCTCCCTTGCCACCTTTCCCAGAAGTAATCATTAGTTAGACTTTTGTGTTTCATTTTTATTTTGTTATTTTTATTATGTATGTGTGTTCACATACACAAACATTTATTTGTTTTGAAAAATGCCTTATTCTGTTATTTTGACTAGGACAAAGGTAATGAATTTCTAGCCCACAATCCTAAATAATTTCCTAGATAATCTATTGCTTAAACACCTGCATAGCATAAAGCATTAAAAACATGTTTCCTAATTATTTAGTATGTAGAAATGCATTGGTAGCTACATTTCTGTTTAGTATGTAGGAGTATATAGAACTATTTACAAATTAATGTTTTTCTTTAAAATTTTAATTAAAATGTCAGTGGAAATAAGCAGTGAGTCTCAATTTTCATTTTTATAACATTTATTAAAATTCATTGTTTACAACTCAAATATACCTTTCAATTGATAATATTTTAGTTATAATTATGCCATACTAGTGACTTCCTGTTGATTCTCTCTGCTACACTCAAAATCCACAAGCTTCAAAGTACCTTAGAGTCTACGTCAAGTAGTATGTTAAAGACACATAGTGAATATAAAGAACTTGTAGTAAAAGAAAGTAAAGGAACTTTTTCTAAAGAGATATTTAGCAATTGAAGATTTGTCCTCATCTGGTGCCCAGAAAAAAGAGATTTTAGTTATTGTTGCTATTTGGTATTAGGAAAGAAGGAACTGGTGAAGAAATAAATTTAACAGCAAATGCTTAGAATCCAGTGAATTAGTTGATAGTTTTCTCTTGAAACTCTTGAAAACAAATAGCCGTGATTTACTATTTTCTAGCGAGAGATAGCGAAAACTGCAAAAGTGATGACTTGTTATGTTTCATTCTCCCAGAGCAAAAACGCTGTTGAAATGAGGTTGCTTCTTAGAATGACCTTTTTGTTGTTGTTGTTGTTGTTGGTCGTGGGGCTTGAATTCTGGGCCTGGGCACTGTCCCTGCAATCTTGAGCTCAAGCCTAGCACTCTACCACTTGAGCCACAGCGCCACTTCCGGTTTTCTAGTGGTTTATTGGAGATAAGAGTCTCATGGACTTTCCTGCCTGGGCTGGCTTTGAACCACGATCCTCAGATCTCAGCTTTCTGAGTAGCTAAGATTACAGGCGTGAATCACCGGTGCCCAGCTAGAATGACATTTGGGGGGGGGGGGTGTCCGGTTGTCGGGCCAGAACTCTGGGCCTGGGCGCTGTCCCTCAGCTCTTCAGCTCAAGGCTAGCACTCTACCACTTGAGCCCCAGCACCACTTCCGGCTTTTTTCTTTTTGCTTATGTGGTGCTGAGGAATTGAACCCAGGGCCTCATGCATGCAAGGCAAGTGTTCTACCACTGAGCCACCTTCCCAGCCCATAGAATGACATTTTTTAATGTGATGCTTTGGCTTATAGTATGATCATACTGTCACAGAAGAAACTGACTCTAACCTAAACTGATTTTTTAGAAT